TGGAATATGACATCTTCTCAGACATCAACCTGTATTTGGTCATCGGTCTGGGCTCGGTGTCGTTTCTGCTGCTCATCACTATATTGGTCACCATTGTGATCAAGTGTCAGAAATCCAAGCCCAGCAAAGCAGCTCCTCCCTCCAGGAACAGTGTGATCAGTGAGAGGAACTCCACCATTGCAGACTCCACTCTGGTCTCCAACGATGCCTACTGGTACAGTCTGTTTCTAGCAGAGACCAGGAAAGGAAAGCTGGTGGTTAGACAGCCTCTGCCAAAGGGCTCCAGGTACATTGTGTCCAGCATACCAAGAGGGACAGGACTGACAGACACTAGTGACTCAGCAGCTTCTACTCTGCAGGTAGGAAGTTAATGCACAGATATGGTATTTTATTTGCACAATAACATATAAATATTAATTGTTATTACATTTTTTCTTTTAACCCTTGAGTTCATTTAGAAAACATTCTAGTGAATTATTCGAAAATCTCCGAAATTATCATGAGGTACCATTTTCAGATGTATTGCAAACCTAATAGTTTGAACTCTTCTCCTAATTTTTCTAAATGACTTATTATTATTATTATTATTATTATTATATTAACTTGTGTTCATCCATAACTTAGTTGCAGTGATCACATAAACTTTCAAAACCGTCCAGGAGGCACCAGTGTCGCATGCACAACCTAGTATACAACGAAGCAGTGAATAACTGCAATAAATAAGTTTTTTTAAAATTTATGTTCCTTCAATAGGGGTGAATAACACTTTAAAAAATATATATTTAATTTAATACTTGGTATTGATTAGTGGTAAGAAAAACAAAACAAACAGAAAAAAAGAACAGGAGTGACTCATTGGTTCATCTGAAGGGTCACCAACATGAATAATTAGAAAACCATAAACCACAGGAGAATAAGTTGAAAAGTAAATAATCTTAATTGAATTAAATTTGTAAATAATCTGCACATTTTCAGTGACATATCGTTTCCACTGTTACATTTTTGAAGCGATTGGACATAATAATCTGCACGCATAAACTTTGTATTAACTATGAATGTAATTTTCAAAATTACTAAATTTAAGCCCACTGAAAGGAAATAAACGAATTTAAC